AGAAAGAAAGAGAGGGGGGAGTATATTAAACTATTATTCTGAATACAGAAAGAAATGTCAGACTATAATTATGAGAACGTGTATAGAGGGAGACATTTCTGTATAATTCTTAGAATATATTCAAAGCTACTTTATATTCTGAAAGTGCCACTTATTCCAACATGGTTGATGTTTACTGGGAAGGCAACTTGGTATCGGCTTTATCCGATCTAAACTTTTGATTTTCGTACGTAGATATTATGCTGAGTCATTGTTTACTCCGTATGTCTTGATAACGACGGTGTTGTGTATTGTAAAATATCAAAGGCGCTAAAATTTCAACATAATTTTCCTCGCACACGCACACACACACAAAAAGAGAAGGCTATGTAATGTTGCTAGAAAATGTTATTTCCATTGTCGTTTCTATGGACTGTAATGTTTAAATCCATGGAAAACTAATAATATTTGGTTAATAGATTCACTGAACGTATCTGATAAGTAGATGGTTTTCAAACGAGACACAAAACTCGAGCGCTTTTGAAAAAAAAAAACATGTTGCTACAGGAAAAATCTTGACCTAAACTCTAGATAGATGGATAGATTCCAACGCTTATTTATTTCCCATATACACTAGTATATATCTAGAAAAAATAGAATTTTCCACTGGTATTGAAACAATTTATTAGAAGCAGGAGGATTCTTCAAACTTCCTATGGTTTGAAAAGACTGCGATTGAAAGCGAAGGATTAACCTCTGTGCTGTGAAGCATAACAGAAAGAAGTGAATATGATTTCGCGAAAGTTTTTACGAAGTTATACGTGTGGACACATTCAACTACCGTACCATGGCGTTTCAGTTCAATTACCAGAGTTTGGGATTTGTCTGAAGACTTATCTTTCCAACAGTACTGATTGTTGTTGTAGTTTATTTGTGTTGTTGTTTTTTTCCTTCATAGTCATACTCCCGAGACTGTAGATAGCCTTTGTCCCTTGTTTCAGTCGTGTTAGCAGTTCAGCAGGGACCTGTTTATTGAAGACCGTTCGAAGCCACGAACAAAATTAGTTGGGGTTGTCCGTAAAAGGTGGGACTTTGGAATAAACTAGTATTCCCTGGAGAATCTCCGGAGGCCTGTCACAAGCAGATCAAGAGAGGAAGCAGGTTGGAAGAAATTAGCCTCCGGGCTTGACCTGGTGTTTCGTAACTTAAGAAAATATAGTACCCAACAGGAAATAGACTTTGACCAAAAAGAAGCTCATTTATGAGGTTGAATCTTGTTATCGGGTTGTTCTTCAGATACAAAACCACCTTGGCGAGAACATAACGAGTCAATTTATGTCCAGTTCTAATTGAAGCAGCTTCTAACACCTCTTGACAGAACCTTTATTTGTCATCTTTTATTTTTTCATTTTAACAGGTCAGGATAACTTGATAACGTAGATAAAAACCATAATTTCATTATCAATATGTATGTATTATTCAATTTACCAGTAAAAACTTCAATGGCTATTTCTAAAGCCTGAACAATAAAAAGAGATTCGAAAATTATAGAGATGTGTATATAGTCTTTACGAATATACATATATAGATAAATATTGCTTTTCAATAACCACGAAATAACTCGGCTGATGATAAACCATCTGCACAACCAGTGTAGAATTTAAGTAGTTTTGTTTAAAATGTTTAAATATTACTTTATTTGAATTTCAATAAAAGACAGTAAGAAGTAATATGTTATTAGCTCACTAGAACTGTTCAGTATACTTTTTCATTACAGAATTGTTAGCAGAAGTCCACATAAGTTCACGTGATATCTTGAAAAATAGTTTTATAATGTACGTTATACTAATTTATAATTTTTTATTAATTACGTACGGAAACTGTTAATAATATCTTGAAACATGGATTGTGACATAATATCTTGAAACATGGATTGTGGCATAATATCTTGAAACATGGATTGTGACAATATCTTGAAACATGGATCGTGACATAATATCTTGAAACATGGATTGTGACATAATACCTTGAAACATGGATTGTGACAATATCTTAAAACATGGATTGTAACATAATATTTTGAAACATGGATTGTGGCATAATATCTTGAAACATGGATTGTTACATAATATCTTGAAACATGGATTATAACATAATATCTTGAAACATTGATTGTGAAATATCTTGAAAGATGTATTGTGACATATCTTTAAACATGGATTGTGATATAATACCTTGAAGCATGGATTGGGATATAATATGTTGAAACATGGATTGTGAAATATCTTGAAAGATGTATTGTCAGATATCTTGAAACATGGATTGTGAAATATCTTGAAAGATGTATTGTCACATATCTTTAAACATGGATTGTGACCTAATATCTTGAAACATGGATTGTGACATAACATCTTGAAACATGGATTGTTATATAATATCTTGAAACATGTATTGCGACGCACGTGACTAAAGAATATACGTCCTGCACATATCACTCAGAAATCAAGTAGGCTTTCAAATTAGTTCCAATCACGGTGTACTTGGTTTGGTTTGAATCTTGTGCAAAGACACACGAAGGCCATCTGCGCCCTCGGTGTACTACACTTAATCATTACATTAAAATGAAACATACTTCGCTTAAGAGGAAAGATGTCGTTTCTCTGACGACCATTCTTTTTTTTCTTCTTCCTTTTGTTGAGTGTTGTTTCCGAAACTCGTGTACAGTGTAGTAAAATTTCCACAGTTTTTACTGATTGTTTTTCCAAGAAACAAACTAATGTTTTACCAGAAGATAAACTTGTCTCAAGTGCCACTAGTTAAATTATGATAATGTTTTACCAGAAGATAAACTTGTCTCAAGTGCCACTAGTTAAATTATGATAATGTTTCACCAGAAGATAAACTTGTCTCAAGTGCCACTAGTTAAATTATGATAATGTTTCACCAGAAGATAAACTTGTCTCAAGTGCCACTAGTTAAATTATGATAATGTTTCGCCAGAAGATAAACTTGTCTCAAGTGTCACTAGTTAAATTATGATAATGTTTCACCAGAAGATAAACTTGTCTCAAGTGCCACTAGTTAAATTATGATAATGTTTCACCAGAAGATAAACTTGTCTCAAGTGCCACTAGTTACATTATGATAATGTTTTACCAGAAGATAAACTTGTTTCAAGTGTCACTAGTTTATCTTCCATGCATCATACATAAATCGACTTCCTTGCATGTTTTTGAGAACTGTATGACCACTCGACGGAACAAACAGCTTTATCAGACTTGAAACAGCCCAACCATTTATTGTATTAATAAATTGTTGCTTGGTAATTAAGAAAACATGCTGAAAAGTAAAAAAAAAAAGAACACGCCTAAAGGAAAACATTTAAACTGCATTGTGTGTAACTCAAATTATCCATTTTCTATACATCAGGCAGTAGACAATTTCATTCAGATCCCTAAGAACCAATTGGATAGTATTAAATAAGTATCTGTTTTAAAATAATAGTTTTAAGCTGGAGACAATTTGAAGATCGGGTTGGTGCCGGTCTGTACATCGAGGGCCCAAAGTTCGCGTTCCGTTGCAACAAAAACGTCGCGTTTCTCACTTTGATACCGTGGATGCGTTATAAGTGTGACAGTCAAAATTCCACTATTCCATTAAAATAACTCAAGTGTTTGGCAGTTGGTACTGTTGACTTTCTGTCTTCCCTCTAGTCTATCAGTTCAAAAATAGGGACGGCTAGCACAAATAACCTTTGTGCAGCTTCGCGCGAATATCTGAATAGAACCACGCCACTTTAATTTAATTTGATCATAATTTATCTTAATCACAAATATAAAAGATAATCTTAATTATAAGCAATTAGCTTACAAAAGTATGTCATTATTCTACATCTTTCTAATGAAAGATAACCAACTGATGCTTGATTAACCTAATGACCTTAGAAGCAATGTGGTTCTTCTTAAAACTATTATTTTCCTACATTATATAAAACCATGCCATATTTGTAGTGCGTGTACCTTACATTTTTCCATATCATCGATCAAATACTTCGGAAAATATGTAAATAGTTGACTTCAGAAATATTTACGCCGTAGAAACTGTTAATGACGTACGTTCGCCTCCACAAACATTACATACGCTACTTATAAATCTTAATGATATTGAGTTAAACATAAACTGAATTATTTTATTTTTTGATATACAAAAGTAAGAAAAAAAAACCTTAAAGTTTTGATAATATGGTAATTCTTTTAACTATCAAAATCTGGTTATTCACGAAAGACGATATCGGTTACTTAATCTTGATATCAATATGAACTTGATTGTTAAAAGAGTATCAGAAAGTCTAGAACAGAACAAAATTCATTATAACATAAATATCATGTTACTCTTGTATAACAAAAGAAAACAGCAGATTCTTAAGTGATCTTATTGAATCTATCATTAAATGCTTTATTTGTCGTTTTTACTCCGAAAAACCTGAAATATTTATGAACACTATCAATTTCTTAATGGTATGCAACGAACAGTGTTATATAATGTTGAACAGAGCATTGTGTAGTGCAAGCGTGCGCTGTGCGTTGTTAAACGTAATTTCAAATCACCATCATGTTAGTTCTTCTTCTGAGTACAAAGGTCTTGATCTTTAAATACAATTATCACATAAACAAAAATGTAACACTTATAAAACTTTAAACACTTATCGTTGCTCATAACATATTACCTATATTTTACTATTAAGTTGAAATGATGCACTTTTGTTTTACGCGCTAGTTACAACATAAACATCCTACACTCTTCAATTTACAAGCTTTAAAAGGTTTTTTGGTGAGTTACTTTCCTATATAACTCTGAAACTACTTCTGTTTACATAGAGCTTGTAAAATCTATCCCTTAACAACGTGATATGTCGTGTTCTACTTACTACTTAAAGCCAGTGATGACGGCAGTAAAACTTCCAGGATAATGTAGAGAAACATATCTATCTTTTCTTAGCTTTATTTACTGTCGTTGTAACCACCTGTTTAATATAAATAGAAAAAAATGTTAATAACAAAAAAAAGTACGAATTAAAGAAACCTGTAAATAACATTAAAAAATACATATTATCTATCGATATGAAACGATCTATGAAACCCGGTATCATGATATAGTTTCACGAAACTCCAATAAAACTATCCTGGTTAAACTGGGTTTGTTTACATGACACACACATACATATAATAATTATATAACTGTGGTGTGAGAGGTGCATGCAGTCAAACCTCCTTCTTTCCAATTTGTTTGAAATAAGTGTTAGTTAAAAGCAAATATTTAACAATGAAAGTTAAGTAATATGTTAATTTATTTCTAACACTGAAACAAAAGAAGTAATGAGTATTCAAACTGGCCCTAATTACATTGTTGAATACCTAAAACTTTACTATTCTCTGGGTCTCGAATGCTTCCTTTCTTTCCCACGCTCCAGATCTTTCGTCGAAACTAGCTTTAACATACCTAGCAGTACATAAGATATGAACAACAAAAGACCATTTGGTTCTTCAACGCTGTTCTTAAACACTTACCCTTGAGAAAAGGAAAAATAAGTTCATCCTTTATTTTCCAGCAAAACCATCAATTCTCCTTTTAAACTATTAAAAACGTGTTGGCCTATATTACTTCCTATGGCAACTCATTTCAAAAGTCAATCATCCTGTTAGAAAATAAAACTATCTTTAATGGAGAATCTAGCCTGTCTTTTCCTAATCATAAACTTGGGTCCTCTTATCCTGTTGTACAGGATGAAGAATTCAGAGACCTTTATCCACACCGAGATCCAGGAAAATCCTGTAAACTTCAATAAGATCAATTCTTACTAGTATTTACTCGAGAGAAAATAATTTAAGATTTTAATATGTGCTGATAAAATAACCCTTCCATCTTTGTGCTGATAAAATAACCCTTCCATCTTTGTGCTGATAAAATAACCCTTCCATCTATGTGCTGATAAAATAACCCTTCCATCTTTGTGCTTATAACATAACCCTTCCATCTATGTGCTTATAAAATAACCCTTCCATCTTTGTGCTGATAAAATAACCCTTCCATCTTTGTGCTTATAAAATAACCCTTCCATCTTTGTGCTTATAAAATAACCCTTCCATCTTTGTGCTTATAAAATACCCTTCCATCTTTGGAATCATCCTGGTAGTACTGTCTGTGGGACTTTCCTATAAGTCAATATTCCTTCTTAGATAAGGAGACTAAAACTGTACTCAATATTTCAAGTGAAGCCTAAGTAATGATTTATATTTAGGAATTCAAATTTCATTTCTGTTATCATGTGGCGAAACATCAAACCTAATTATGTAACGATCACTTTTCCCCAAATGTTTCCCCACTTAAACTCTTGCTAGTGATTAACAATAAATCTCATATGGCATCCCATCTGGTTGGCTCTCTAATTATTTGATATAGAAAGCCATTTTCAATCATTTTATTCACTGTTTGACTCCATAAAATCTTAATCAATGTGTCTAGAATCAGTTGGCCCGGCATGGTCAGGTGGTTAGGGCGCTCGACACGCAATCTGAAGGTCGCGGGTTTGAATCCCCGTCCCACCAAACATGTTCGCCCTTTCAGCCGTGGGATCATTATAATGTGATGGTCAATACCACTATTCGTTGGTAAAATAGTAACTCAAGAGTTGGTGGTGGGTGGTGATGACTAGTTGCCTTCCTTCTAGTCTTACACTGCTAAATTAGGAACGACTAGCGCAGATATCTCTCGTGTAGCTTTGCGCGAAATTCAAAACAAACAAACTAAGATCAGTCTTCATATGCTGTTATCAGTATCCTTATTAGTAATAAGCCTTATTTCATTATACGATTTTTTCATTGGCATTACCTGTCTAGTGAGGTAGTCTATAACAATTGCCAGTTAAACAATTTTCATCTTTGAATCCCCTGACTGGAACCCATATAGATTCAATCTCTTGACTAACCATTTTTTATGTCTTCAGTCCAACAGACTGCAATTCAATATCCATCTCACCTATATTTTACAAAGTATGTCACTAATAAATCCTTATAGCCTGGAATTTCAATACAATTCTTATTATCGTTTTCTTCAAATATAACCAAGTTACAGTAATTACCATTATATATATCATAGCCATCCATTTCTACTTAATCCCTGAACTCCTCCGTTTTGTTTCTAATACTCCAAGCATGAAAATAATAGCAACTAAGCTGATTATTGAATATTTCACTTGTTTTGCTCTAAACCTTCGTTTTCTAATTTCATTGTTGCTCTGGCAATCCTATCGATTTGTATATTCCCAAATAATTATGCTCCCTCATTACTATGCAAGTTTAGTTAAAACTATCTTTAATAAATATCTTTCGAGCTTCCCCAAACATCCAGCTTAGTTGGAGTCTACCTCTAGAATATAAGTGCCCCTTATTTTTAAAACTATCCCACAAGAACAACTAGCCCACTTGTTGCTCTAAACATATCCCTGATAATATTTCATTTAATTCCTGGATTTTATAAAGTAGTTCATACCCACATGATGTGCGCGGGGCACTCCCGAAAATACCATACGTCTATTTCGACCCCTAAACTCTGGAGAAGTTTTCTAAAATTTTTAGCAGCTCTTCTAATTTACAACTTCCAATATCATTCGCTCCTACGTCCACTGTAAAAAGAAAATGCTTCTTGTTATCAGCAATTAAACTGTCCCGTACCTTATTACCTGGAGCAAATTCTAGTCCTAGTCTTTCTATACTCACCGTTACAAATACTTTTATCAGTATACTCAATGAAAGAATCTCCTATAATGTAATCATCATGATCATCTTCTTGACAATTGTGAGAAGACAAAGAATCGCCCCCTCGATGGCTTAACTATATATCTGGGAGATTATAACGCTACAAAATCGTGTTTTGATACCAGCGATGAGCAAAGCACGGGTAGCGCATTACGTAGCTTTGCGATTAACAACAAAAAAAACAAAGCCAAAGGTTAAAACCTATTATAGACCTGAATGTTGATTGAACCTGTCTTGTATGTATCATTCTTGTAAACACAGAATTCCTATTATCACCCTCTCCCAAAATGTCGTTTGTTCTAACTATCCATTTCCTATCTTGCTAGGCCCGCCATGGCCAGGTGGTTAGTGGTGCTTGCCTCGTAATCTAAGGGTCGCTGGTTCAAATCTCCTTCCCACCAAACATGCTTGCCCTTTCAGAAGTGAGGGTCTTATAATTTGATGGTCAATTCCACTATTCGTTGGTAAAAAAGTAGCCCAAGAGTTGGCGGTGGGTGATGATGACTAGCTGCCTTCCCTTTAGCCTTTCACTCTAAATTATGGACGGCTAGCGCAAATAGACCTCGTGTAGCTTTGCACGAAATTTAAAATTCCAATTCCTGTCTTGCTCCATTGATTTTCGTTCTTAATATGTTACTTACCAACTATAATTGAGTAGACTTTCCCAAAGCTATCTCTAGCTTATTCTCAAGTAAGTAAGCCTCTATAAATATAATGTTCCTGCGCTTCTGAGCCTTCTGGAAATTACAATCAAGTCCACGTTTTTCAAACATAACATCCCACCCTATAAATTCCATCCCACTTATCCCTGAACTACTTCTAAGCACATTAAAGTTTACTAATCTTACTCTCTGTTACTGATCTACCCATCCTATAATTGTATATTTAACTAAAATTAAGCCATTTCACAGTTTATAGTTTAAATTTCTAACGAATTTGTTGTTATGTATTTATTTTGATATGAACGTTGTTTAGATTAAGTTTATATTTAGAAACATACATAGCTTATACTGTTAGATAGGTATTGCGAAACTATTCTCCAAAGTTGTAGAAGATTCTCTAGAGTATGAACCAGCAATATATCTATATATGTAAATGCTCTGACCAGTATTGTTACGTAAGACTGAATCTTCTAGAAAACCTTCCTACGGCTATAAATATAACCAACGGGACGCGCCAAGGAGTGTCTATTATTAGTTCGCTATAATCGGTGTGCTATAAAACTTCGAAAGCTATAACTGTGATTGTTATAACGCTTATCAATCGGAAATCTTAAGATACCTGACCAGGAATATTTATAAATTTCGAAAGTTACAAATCATTTAACTTCAGTTGATTCTCATCGGACATTAGTAATTTTACGAAGACATATAAATTCATCGTGGAAAACGTAGTGTGTGTGTGGCCAAGGACAAAGCTAGCTAGCTTCCCAGCCAATCGTATCTACATAAACTTTTAATTAGCTCGCTCATCGTGAACTCTTGATAAGATATCAAGGAAGTTCCAGACTAGAAAGAAAGCTTTATATTGTTTGTAAGTTTGTGAAACTTTTATCTATAAATCATTGTTTGTAGTAACTATTTGTAATAATTGTTATTGTAAATTGTATTGTTGTGTGTATATTAAAACGTATTTTTGTTAAAAACGAAGACGGTGTGTATCAATCTTTTTGGCAAATATCGTAAATTGACTAAAATATCGACATATATTTAAATACTAAATCTAAAGTACGATTTAACTACTAAATTTAAATTATCAGTTAACTCGGCTTCGGACCATTTGAAATTCTAATACGTAACGAATTGTAGATAAATCTAACACTAAAATAACATAACATATTAACTGATACTGATATTCTTATTGCAGTTGTGATGTACTCCACGTCTCTAGTTACTCGTAACTAATTGCTAATTTAATTTACTGATTCATGAAATTCTCAGAAACTATCTGACACTAATAGAAACAATAGTTTCAACTTTTAATAGAAACAAATTCTCCTTCGTAATTAGCTAACTAATACTATTACTTAAGAACAATAAGTTAGACCTAAGGATCTGAATATTAAACTTAAAGAAATAAGGAACGAAGTTTCTCTTATACATAGACGCGTATACCTTTTTAAATATTTGCATATACTAATTTGAATTTCTTGGTCCCAGTAATCTCGCCATCTTGGATTTCCTTTCGGTGCGGGTTCAAGATTGCTTAG